TCACACTCTTCTCTTGCATTAGTACTGCACCCAAGCCAGAATAGGATGCATCACAATAAATAATGAAGTTCTTACCCTCTACTGGCAAGGTAAGGATAGGTGCGGTAGTCAACAAAGTCTTGAGCTTCTGAAAGCTTTCCTCACATTCATCCGACCATACAAATGGGATATTCTGCTTAGTCATGTTTGTCAATTGGGAAGCGATAGAAGAGAATCCCTTGACAAATCGGCGGTAGTAGCTAGCTAACCCAACAAAGCTCCTTATTTCTGACACATTAGTAGGTCTTACCCAATTCTTCACTGTCTCAATCTTAGAAGGATCAACCATCACTCCATCCTTAGAAACCACGTGTCCCAAGAAGGACACTGCATCTAGCCAAAACTCAGACTTAGAGAACTTGGCATAAAGCTTTTTCTCCCTTAACATTTCCAATACCATTCTCAAATGCTCTTCATGCTCCTTCTTGCTCTTTGAGTATACCAATATATCATCAATAAATACGATCACGAAGAGGTCCAAATATGGCTTAAAAATCTCGTTCATCAAGCTCATGAACGCAGCAGGGGCATTCGTTAGACCAAAAGACATCACTACAAATTCGAAATGCCCATACCTCGTTCGAAAAGCAGTCTTTGGCACATTCGTTGCCCGTATTTTCAATTGATGATAACCGTATCTCAAGTCAATCTTAGAGAAGACACAAACACCTTGTAACTAATCGAACAAGTAATCAATGCGAGAAAGAGGGTACTTGTTCTTTATGGTTACCTTATTTAGTTGTCTGTAGTCTATACACGTTCGAAAACTCCCATCCTTCTTCTTTACAAACAAAACCGGAGCACCCCAAGGAGATGCACTTGGTCTAATGAAGCCTTTGTTCAATAACTCTTGAAGTTGTGCTTTTAGGTCTCTTAACTCCGCGGGAGCCATTCTATAAGGGGGTATAGAAATGGGGCGGGTACCGGGTTCAAGATCAATACAGAAGTCAAAATCCCTATCCGGTGGCATACCAGGAAGATCTGCAGGGAACACATCCAGAAACTCACGAACTACTGAAACCGACTCAATCGAAGGTACTTGGGTAGTGTCATCCTTGAGATGTGCAAAGAAAGCTAAACACCCTTTACTAATCATTTTCCTAGCACGAAGAAAGGAGACGATGCGGACCGGATTGGAAGTGTAGTCACCCTCCCACACTAACGGATCTGTCCCAGGCTTGGCTAACGTCACCATTTTAGCATTACAATCCAAGATCGCAAATTGCGGAGAAAGCCAAGTCATACCCAGAATCACATCAAAATCATCCATTTCTAAGATAACCAAATCTACATAGGTGTTGCTCCCCACAAAGTTTACCACACAAGACCTATATACCTTTTCAACTACCATCACCCACCGGAGTAGAAACACGAATAGGCATATCAAGAAATTCACAATGTAAATTTAGACCATTATCAAATGAGGAAGATACATAAGAAAACGTGGATCCAGGATCAAACAATACAGAAGCCATGCAATCACAATCCAGAAGATTACCTGTGATGACAGCATCAGATGCCTCCGCTTCAGACCGCCCAGGGAAAGCGTAACAATGGGCCCTATCGTTCGTCTGTCCATTGCCCCTACCATGTTGTGATGTAGTGGCTCCAGTTTGCCCATCACCTCGGCCGTTTTGGTGACCACCATTACCTCGACCACCACGTCCTCCAGAATAACGGCCTCTACCATGACCACCTCTACCTCTAGCTATTGGGGGTCTATAACTTTGTCTGGGACAATTTTTCCTAATATGTCCAATCTTCCCACATCCATAACATTCTCTAGAGTCAATCCGAGGCCCCTCGGAGAAGTGTTGACCGGTCTGAGGTGGTCCCCCAACTACAGTCTGTAGTGAAGACTGAATTGGTCGGACTGAGTAACTTCCCGAACCCTGTCCTCTAGTGTAAGAACCATTAAACTCACCTCCCTTTCGA